ATCGCTTGATGTAACCCATCTGTCAAGGCCGTATTTTCACATGACTTTTTTTTCGATATCAATTGACATTTCTAGAGACACGGATTCCTGAAAGTCCATAAAAATAAAATATCCCACATAATAATAATAACAATAAAATAATTCTGAAAGTTTCATGGAAAACCAAAAAAAATTTTTTTTGACAAAGTTTTGTGTATATTGAAGAAAAGGATTTACTACATATATACAAACAAAAAATTCACAGTGAATTAATGTATATATTCTGCCAAACAAAGTTCATCAAAAGGAAACCCTTACTAAACATTAAGGTTATTATTTTTGAATTTTTGATTTTCAATGTAATAAATTTTCCTTCATATTAGTGGATTTTAATGAATATCTCAAAAACTATGTTATTTTGTCTGGGTGTAAATATCATTGGCACTAATTCTTACTTAACCTAATTCTATTTGTTTCAATAGCTTTTTTCTTGTTGTAAATGGCTTATGTATTGTTCTTTCCTTGTCTGGTTTTTGACTTTCAAAAAAAATTTTTTTTTGACTATTCTCACTTTTTATACTATTCACTTTCTACAATAGTAGCATCATTTTTAATGAATTGCCATTTTTGTTTGCCACTGAGGCATCTTCTTTTGATTACCATGAACTCTTGATATAAGGCCATTCATTTTTATCAGATGATTTCTTATATGTTCAAAATTAGACACATGGCAATCAATTCCCAGGATATTGCTCCATTGCTCTGAGCAAGCTGAGATATTAAGAAAATGTCTATCTCAAAGGGCTTCACATAATACAGAAAACTCTTTTTGGGAACTGCAACCCACTTTCAAAAAATGCTTTTGCCTTTTCATATTCGGTAGAACCATTATATGTATGTATAACATGTAATTTACATCACAAGCTACGAGAGCAAAATATGTGGGTTGTACAAAAAGTTTTGAGAAAATACATGCACTTGATGATCTTTTCTTTAATAAAAGTAAAAATGGGAATAAAAAACCCTTAAGCCACAATCTTTTAAATAAATAAATAAAAAATCATTCAAATTGAGTCATTTATTGTTAATTTATAAATTTTTAAAGTTTGCCCAGTAGAAACAAATGGAAAATTCAAAACATGAATACCAAAGATACTACATTTTTTTTAGCTGGAAAAATTGCAAACCAGCTAAACAAGTTCAACAGGAATTACAAGTTGCAGAGGGGTCTGATGCATCTATTTATCATTGGATTGAAGTATTTGAAAGCGGACAAAATAGTGTTGAAAATGATTCATGTTCTGGACATCCTCAAGAAACTTCCACCCCTGAAAACATTGCAAAAGTTGATGATTTAATTAGTGATGATCCTCATATGACAATTACAGCTATTGATGAAGTATTCAAAATATTTACATAATGAATTAAAAGTTTGTAAAAAATGGGTCCCACATGTTTTAACTGTTGAAAATAAAAAAACCAGGTTGAAATTTCTAAGCAATTGTTAGAAATCCTTGATAATGGACTTAATAATATTATTATAGGTGATGAAACTTGGTTTCATTTTTATGCTGTACCAAATAAAGAATCAAATAAAACATGGGTTAAAAGTGGAGAAAATCAGCTGCAAATTACCAGAACTGCACAAAATGCTAAAAAAAGGATGTTTTGTGATTTTTGCTCAATAAAAGGTGTTGTAGCAAGAATTGTTGTACCAAAAGGTCAGACTGTAAATGGCACATTTATAGAACAAATGTATTGCCTAGTGTATTTTCAAAATATAATGAATTAAAAAATAGAAAAACAATAAGAAATGTGGTGATGCATCATGACAATGTTGCTTCATACAAATCAAAAATTGTAACAGAATATTTAGAAGAGGAAAAGGCTATTTTGCTCCCCCACCTTCCATATAGCCTGGATTTAGCTCCTTGTGACTTTTTTCTATTTCTTAGAATTAAAGAAGAGCTAAAAAATAAGCATTTTGATCATATTGAAAATCTTGCATGTGCAGTTCAGGCAATCACAGATGGCATCACAAAAGAGGACTATCAGAATCATTTGAAAATTGTAAAAATAGGCTATAAAAATGCATAGATAATGATGGGAACTATTTTGAAGGAATGCATTAATTTATAACATCTCTCCCATTAACCCATCTCTTTTTTTTAATAATTCTTTAAATCAATAGAGTAATTCATAATTTTATAGATAGACAAATTAATATAGATAAATTTAAAATATAAAACAAAATGGGTTTATCAATTTCAAAACTTCTTCAAGGTCTCTTCGGTAAGAAAGAGATGCGCATTTTGATGGTGGGTTTGGATGCTGCTGGTAAAACCACCATTTTGTATAAACTCAAGTTAGGTGAAATTGTTACCACCATTCCTACTATTGGTAAGCCATATATACACTCAATCAATTAATAATAATTATTATAATAATTAATAAATTAATAATAATGAATTCAAATTTTCTATTTATTTTCTAAAGGTTTCAATGTTGAGACAGTAGAATATAAAAATATTTCTTTTACTGTTTGGGATGTTGGAGGTCAAGATAAAATACGGCCACTTTGGCGTCATTGTAAGCTGTTTTTAATATTTTTTATATGGTGTATATTTAGTATATATATATCATATATATATATATATATATACATTTATATAGCATAATATAATATCTTTACCACAAAAGCATCTTGACCATGCACATCCATTCATATATCTATTAATCACTGACTCGCCCATCATCAATCATTATTACAGATTTCCAAAATACACAAGGTATTATATTTGTAGTTGACTCAAATGATCGAGAACGTATTTCAGAGGCAAGAGAAGAACTTCAACGTATGCTTAATGAAGATGAACTTAGAGATGCACTTTTGTTGGTATTTGCCAATAAACAAGATTTACCTAATGCAATGAATGCGGCAGAAATTACTGATAAACTTGGACTCCATTCTCTTCGACAACGTCATTGGTATATCCAAGCTACATGTGCTACAAGTGGCGATGGTCTTTATGAAGGATTGGAATGGTTAAGTACTAATTTGAAACGAAAAGTTTAAAACTTTTAATGATAGTGTAGAAGATTCAAAATTGGAAATATAAATAGAAAAAACATGAAAAAATATAAATTAGATTTATAAAAATTAAGAAAAATTATTAATTAATTATCAGTTATTGTGTAATATTAATAAAAAATATATTTAATTATTTAACTAATAATATCTATTATTATTAACTACAGTTATTACCATTTTAATAATAAAATTTTATTTAAATCAAAACTTTTGGATCTTTAATTCATTGTTAATTTTATTATTTATTATTAGAAATACTTTACTATTAATTAAAAGTATTTAAAAACAATATACAGTATATATTTTTACATATATTTGATAGAACACTTTTTATTTTATTATTTTAATTTTTTAATAAAGAATTCTTTATCAAGGATATAAGAATATAACAGTAATATGATTATCTTTTATATATCTCAATTGATTGACCAAATTTTCCTTTCAGAATAATTCACACCGGAAAATTTTTAAAATGTCAAGTCATTGGATTCTTTTCTAATAAATCTTTATTGAATCACATCATCAGTAATTTTTCATTTTCTTTTTGCTGACTATTTGAATCTCTATGATAATCAAAATTCAATGCGTGAGGAGTATCGAGGAAAAAATCTTCATTATTCTTATTTTAAAATTCTTGATCCTTCCAGTCACTTTTTTATTTGTTTCAAACAGATCTGAGCATAAGTTTCAGTTGCCAGTTTTAAAAGACATTACTATACGTTGTAATGAATTTTTTTAGTAAGAATTGTTCCCAAAGAAACTTCCGTTACTATTGCTACTACCTGTTCCAATTGCTTTAATTCCATCTAGGTTAT